CGCTGTACGCCGCCTCCTCGAACACCGGCGCGTTGTCGTTCACGTCCGACACCTCCAGCACCAGCTCCGTGCTGCTCCACAGCGCCGGCCGCCCACGGTCCCGGGCCACCACCGTCACGCGGTGCTCGGAYGCCTGCTCGCGGTCCAGCGCGCTCGCCGTCACCACCTTGTACGAGCCGCCCGACGACGCCACGATCGACAGCGGCGCCTCTCCCGAAAGCTCGCACGACACCTGACCGTTCTCGCCTGAGTCTGGGTCTTCCACATTCAGAAGGGCCACCACGGTGCCGACTGGCGCGTCCTCCGGTACAGGACTTGACAGCGATAAAATCGTGATTTCAGGTGCATTGTCATTCTCGTCTGTGACGTCTATTTGCACTTCGCAGTGCGATACTAAACCCCCGCCGTCCTTCGCCTCCAAGCCGAAGATGTGTTTACTCTTCTCCTCGAAATCGAGGGAACCCAGAGTCCTTATTTCACCGCTCTCGCTGTCCACAGTGAACAATGAGCTGATGGCTTCAGGGACGTTGCTGAAGGAGTAGAACACCTGTCCGTTGGATCCCGTGTCCGCATCCGTCGCCCGTACCTGCAGCACCGGCGACCCCGCTGGCAGGTTCTCCGCCACTCGTGTCTCGTAGACACTTCTGCTGAACACAGGTGGGTTGTCGTTGGCGTCGGTCACATTGACCCGGATTTGAACAGTCCCGGACCTCGCGGGTTCCCCACCGTCCACCGCTGTCAGCACCAGCTCAAAGAAACTCTGCTTCTCCCGGTCCAAAGCTCTCTCCAGCACTAATTCCGGCTGCTTGCTTCCACCTGGCTTCTCCTTTAAGGCCAGAGAGAAGGACGGGTTGCTGGTGAGCTGGTAAGTCAGCAGCGAGTTCCTTCCTACGTCCGGATCTCGTGCCATCTCCAGCGGAAAACGAGCGCCGGGAGGAATTAATTCACCTATCTCGAGGTCCAGAGCGTCCTTGCTAAAGGCTGGGGAGTTATCGTTCACGTCCTCGATGGCCACCTCGACGCGAAAAACGTTCAGCGGGTTGTGCACCAGCACCTCGAAGCTGACAGAGCACGTCGTCGACTCCCCGCACATCTCCTCCCGATCCATCCTCTCATTCACGTATAGATTCCCGTTTTCCTCATTCACTGTGAAATATTTCAGCTGCTTCTTACCGGCAGACGCCAGCCGCAGCTTGCGCGCCGGCAGCTCGTCTGCGCTGAGCCCCAGATCCCGCGCCAGCGGCCCCACGAGCGAGCCTCTGCCCAGCTCCTCGGGGATGGAGTAGCGGACCCGCTCCGCCGCCGCCCGGCAGCACAGGCACAGCAGCACCGCGGCCAGCAGCGCTCGCCCGCCGCCCGGCCCGAGCCTCNTCGTTCACGTCCGACACCTCCAGCACCAGCTCCGTGCTGCTCCACAGCGCCGGCCGCCCACGGTCCCGGGCCACCACCGTCACGCGGTGCTCGGACGCCTGCTCGCGGTCCAGCGCGCTCGCCGTCACCACCTTGTACGAGCCGCCCGACGACGCCACGATCGACAGCGGCGCCTCTCCCGACAGCTCGCACGACACCTGACCGTTCTCGCCCGAGTCTCTGTCCCGGACTTTCAGCAGGGCCACCACGGTGCCGGTTGGTGCGTCTTCTGGTACCGGGCTCGACAGCAATAGCATCGTGATCTCGGGGGCGTTGTCATTTTCGTCCGTGATGTCTATTTGCACCTTGCAATGAGCGTTCAGCCCACCACCATCCCTCGCCTCCAGCCCGAAGATGTACTTGCTCTTCTCCTCAAAATCAAGAGAATTCGCCGTCCTGATCTCACCGCTGTCGCTGTCAACCTCGAACATCGCAAGAACTCCCTCCGGGGCATTGGCGAAGGAGTAGGAGACCCGCCCGTTGGAGCCCACGTCCGCATCTGTCGCTCGTACCCGCAGCACCAGCGACCCTGTCGGCAGGTTCTCTGCCACTCGTGCCTCATAGATGCTTTTGCTGAACACTGGTGGGTTGTCGTTGGCGTCCGTCACGTTGACCCGAATCTGGACAGTCCCAGACCTTACGGGGTCCCCACCATCTAGTGCTGTCAGCTCCAGCTCAAAAGAGCTCTGCTTCTCCCGATCCAGCGCTCTCTCCAACACCAGTTCTGGCTGCTTGCTTCCGTCGGGGGTCTCCTTTAAGGCCAGAGAGAAGGAGGGGTTGTTGGTGAGCTGGTATGCCAGCAGCGAGTTGCTGCCCACGTCCACGTCTTGAGCTGACTCCAGAGGAAAACGAGTACCAGGAAGAGTCCATTCACCGATTTCGAGGTCCAGAGACGCCTTCCTGAAGGCCGGGGAATTGTCATTCACGTCTTCGATGGCCACCTCAATGTGGAAAACGTTCAGCGGGTTCTGCACCAGCACCTCAAAGCTGATGGAGCAGGATGCCGACTCGCCGCACATCTCCTCCCGGTCCAGCCTCTCATTCACGTACAGATTCCCGTTTTCCTCATTCACCGTGAAATATTGCTTCTCCTCGCTCAGCCGCAGCTTGCGCGCCGGCAGCTCGTCCGCGCTGAGCCCCAGATCCCGCGCCAGCGGCCCCACGAGCGAGCCTCTGCCCAGCTCCTCGGGGATGGAATAGCGGACCCGCTCCGCCGCCGCCCGGCAGCACAGGCACAGCAGCACCGCGGCCAGCAGCGCTCGCCCGCCGCCCGGCCCGAGCCTCTGCCGCCGCCTCACCGCC